ATTCAGCAAAGGTTTCCCTTGGATGACGGTGAAAAACATCCGTTTCTCATCATACTGTTGCTCCCTTCAAATCAATGGAAGTGCGCTCTATATTAGATCAAATTCTTGGACACGGGGATTCCCTGCCCTCATTGATACTGCTGCAAAGAAAAGGAAAGGCATATTCTGGAACCATCTTTATTTTTTTTCTGGGAAAAATCGCTAAAAAAAATAGGTAGGATTTAGCTGAATGGTCATAATGTTTCCCAGTACTTTATAAGATCCTGTTCCTAGCTAATTATTTTGCGGATTATTAACCCCTTAGACTGAAATTTTCCATGTCGGCTTTCTGCTCCAGGCTGGAGGTTAGTCAACTTCCAGCTAGTTCAATTGCCTTGGAGAGTAAAATGAAGAAAAAAAAAATCTGAATAACCTTCCTGTGCTGCAGAGTCAAGGGCCACAAGGCAACATGGTCTGCGTGTGCTTCAAGGACTTTGGGCAGCAGCATGTTCGGAAAGTGTGTTTTGCTAGCCCTGGGAAAAGCACTCCACAATCCGTTTAATAATGAATGTAATTGCCTTGTGATCTTAACTTGGCCTCTTTTTGAGCTGCTTTCTGATTATGGCTGATAGTTTGCTCAGATTTTCCACTGACACTTATATATGTCTGATAAGTCTTTATTTCTGTGTTGAAAGTACTTGTATGTGGCAGGGAAATAGTAATGGGAGTTCCTTGTTCTATTTTCCTCTTTTGTGATGGAGAAGTGAAGAGAAAATAGAAATATTCTCAGCTATTTCTGTAATACGTCTTTTTCCTATATGATCTTAGAGTTTTTATCTTCCCCTAGGCTTCTTACTGCCTTTAATACAAAGGATGGGGAGTGTTTCTGTATTCCATGTTCTTCTGCTCTTCCTTATTCATTCTGTGAACCCAACTTTGTTTTATTTCACACTGTTCAAATCTGAACTGCAAAATGAAACCATTTTCTTAGGCCTTTTTGTGTAACTTTTTCCATAATCCCTCTCTGCTTCTCAGGCTGTGAAGAGAGCCTTACAACCTTAATAAAATAATATAGCGATAACTGACTTTTATGCTCAATAGTGAGGGAAAGATTTTAGTATCTATGAGATATTTGGGAGTTGAGGAATCATCTTTTTTTTAAGAGACTGTAAAATTTTTGTATCATTCTAGACATTTAAAACAGTAATTTCTTTGGCTTTAGGTGAGTAGAAAGTGCAGGGAAGAGTGTTTGAAATCTGCAGACGGGGTGGTTTCAGTTTCAGATGTCCAGGAAATTAGGAACATGCAGAGACGTGGGATATTTGCTAGGCCGACTTGTTTAGCATCACAGAGCTTTCTGTGACAGAAGCAGGGATTTAATCAACCTGTGCACACTGGAGTCAGCTGCCTTAAACAAGTCAGCAATTAAAAATGGGGAAATGTATTTTCTTACAGTAAGCGTGTAAGTAGTCTGATTTAAGATTGCATAGGCTCCTGTTTTTTTGAGGATTTGGCTTTTCATTCTTTGTTAATGTTCTTAATTATGGGACTTTTTCCATGCAAAGTGTTTAGTTTGAAATTTTAAGTGTAATGCTATTTCCTAGTTTACTTTTCTGTGGCTTACTTCAGGGAATCTGTATTCTCATCAAAGAAATAGTATGATTGTATCCTTAAAAACTACACAGCTAGATGCAAAAATATTGGATTGTCTGAAGTAAAATATGGCAGTTGTCTTTCTTGAATGTGAATAAAAACACTTGCTTTTGGTCTTATGAGGACTTAAATTTAAATCATTGGAAAGGATAACAATGTGTGCCATCTATTGCCATTTGTTTTCTCACAATACGCTGTTTTTCCTGCTGCTCTAAACATGAGCATCCCTCACCAGAGATGGTTCCCTTGTTCGCTAGGCGATGGGAAGGTGGAGATCCAGGCGTTTCCAATCAGAAGACACCCACTACTATCCTCTTAACACCAGAGAGAAAGTTCCACAGCTTCGGATACGCAGCAAGAGATTTCTACCATGACTTGGATCCGAATGAGTCTAAGCACTGGCTGTATTTTGAAAAGTTTAAGATGAAGCTACATACCACTGGGGTAAGCAGTAGCTAACTGCCTTTGCTGACTGCACATTTGCTACACAAATCCTCTGCAGAAGGTGCTAGATCTTGTCTGAAGATTACATGTGAGATAGGAAGCAGCTTTGTTTATAGGTTTAGAAAGTAAGCATATTAAATAAAATGCCTCAATTAGCATTTTTTTTTCATTTATTTTGCTTGTTTCTGCCTTTGGCAAATGTATTTTTGACTGCCTGCTTTCTAGATCATATCAGTTCGTATCTGCTTCCCTTAGATCTTCCTGTCCTAATTTTCGTGGGTGGAATTCATAGCTGTGTAGGGAGGCCGCATGCGGTCTGTCTGCTTTAGAAAATCTGTTCAGAAAGCAAATGGAATATAAAAGGCATGTTGAACTCCTGTGCACAGAAGCAAATTTACCCAGATTATTTGTAATAATTTGAAGTTATTCCTACTGATTATATTTTTGTCTTTAAACTGTTCTAGAGCTTTGGCCCTTGGCCAGTACTTTATGTACTGAGATGCTTTCTGGTTTCATGTGTTGGTAGGAAGCCAAAAATCCATGCTTTTAGCTCTTAACTTGGATTAAATACCTTGCATATGCAGCTTTGTTACAATTAATTACAGATGCAGTTTATTCTATTTAATATTTTGCCCATAGTGCTCAATCTGCCTACAGTTATTTGTAGACACAATAGGTGTACCAAAAAAAAAAGAGAGATCTATAATAAACATCAAATATTATGCTCCAGGAAACTCAAGTGATGAATTAGATCCTCTTCAGAACAATTTTGTCACATTTTCCTAGCCAGGTGGATAAAGAAGAATTCCCTTTCCTCTAGCAGTGGGAATTAATTTTGTTTACTTCTTCCTTTGAGTAACTTCCAGTTATTTTTCTTTCATGTAGAATCTTACCATGGAGACAGATCTGACAGCTGCAAATGGCAAAAAAGTCAAAGCACTTGAGATATTTGCTTACGCCCTGCAATTCTTCAAGGAACAGGCATTAAAGGTAGAGTAACGCTTCCTTATCTAAAGTCTGTATATTTATAACTGATAAAAAAAAACGTGTGCCAAATGCTTCTAACCTTGCCAGCTTTGACCTCGGTAGTATTTGATGTAAACAAAGCAAGGCAGCTGTAGAAACGCTGGGAAGGCTGTGGACTCTTCAGAATTCAGAATAGCCTGAAGTGATTTCCCTTCGCGTGGGGGAAGCTCCATTCAATAACAGCAAATATATCACTGCCATACAGCACTCTGAGGATTTTCTTATTGGCATACATTTTTTTCTGCTGCCTTTTTTTTTTCCCCATGAGAAATATTGTTTTGAAAATAAAATCTACGGTTGCAGGGCCTGAAGCTCAGCATCTCACTCTGCACGTCTGAGAGTGGCTTCTCCCCAGCTGTTCTGCGGCTGGCCCCGTTCGTTGTTCTGGGCTCACCCAAGGTTCCCGCTCACGTTAAAGCCTTTTTTCCCATAAAACCCCCTAGAATTGCCACCTGCTGATGTCTGCTGTCCCAATCCAACACTGTCTTCAGTGGCTGCGCAGAGGGAAGCTGGATTTATTCTGTAATAGAGATTATTAAGAGCTTTATTGCAGTCTAGCGAGTTGAGCCTCGCGTGTCCAGCGACGAGCCGTGCAGTGTGCGGGTTGGGGTGGCCTGCCCCGAGCAGGGAGGTGGCTTAGCCCATGTAATGGTGCTTTGGTCTTGTGCAGATGGTTATACTGAGAAATGTTGCTTTTTTGCCCTGATCCTCAATGTACATTTATATAAAACAATCTAATGAACATTAGGGAGAACCTTGAAATAAGACATAGGTTATGAGTTTAATTCCAAGTTTGTACTAAATAGGGCCCATTTGTACTGCCTTCAGTGTCAGATTTTGCCTGTTTTTAGGAGAAAGGCAAACAATCTATTATGAATTCTTTCCAGGAAAGAAAATAGATTTTCTAAGTTTGCTACAAGCTAAGAAATAACAATTTTATTTTCCTGTTTCACATTTGAAATATTACAAAACTTCCTTCTTGTAATTACCTTGTTAGGTCCCAGGAATCTATTTGATGTTTTCTTATGAAATGTATATTCCTGGTAGACAGTGTCTGAGATTTAAAATCCCATGCAAGCAGCCAAACATGAATTAAGTGCAGATTGGCTTCAGATGCACTATCACAATGTCAATGTAAACAGCAGCAGTTACTTGGCCAAATTAGTTGTTAAATCTTCACCAAGCAAGTGCTGTTTAAAATAACCTTGTTAGAAAGCCAACCTACTTTCTGAATGGGGTTAATTTAATCTCTGTGAGATCTCGGTCTGTTCTTAATGGCTACAGAGGCCCAAATCCTCTCGCTACAGTTTGAAATCCTTGCCTGGTCAAAGACTGTATTTGATTAGAGTTTTAAGTGACAGCCCCGATCCTTTGCACGGTTCGGGTAGGTTCTTAAAATCCCACGTATTTGCCGTGTTCCTCTTCAGGGTTGCGTCCCGAGTTTGATAAAGAGATCTCTGTGACTTGTAAAGTTCTTAAAATCCCATGTATTTGCCATGTTCCTCTTCAGGGTTGCGTCCTTTCTTGAGGTTGATAAAGAGATCTCTGTGACTTGTAAGTGTGTGCTAAAGCTAATTAGACAAGCGATGCAAATGGTCCGTTACCCTGGATTATAATCATCTGTCCATTGCAAACGCTCACGCTAGAAAGGTACCACTCTTCCACTGTGGGTTTTGAGTTGTGGCCTAGCTAAGTAAACACAACACCTTGCCCTGGCGCACGCAGAAACATTCTGCTGCAGTCTAAAGGCCTGTTGTTCACCTCTCTGAACCTTTCCCTGTTTGGAGGGAGATTTAGATAGGACATATGGTAATGACGTTTGACTTGGAACCCTTCCCAAAGCATGTCAGTGTATCGCCTGATTTGCAGAGGCAATACAAACTCTCCTTTTTTTTTGAGGGGGGAAAAAAAAAAGAAAAATAAAGGAACTAAACTACTTTTGAATGTTTGCTTAAAGCAAACCTTGCAAGGAGCAATCAGACTATTTTTTAAGGTTTTAACTGTAACTTCCCCTTCCTCACTGAGCTGTGAAATTTTGATTTTAAGGTGGTATATAAAGAAGTCATTGAAAAATCGAGATCATAAAATATAATGTTTCTGAATGATACCTCAAATATTTTTCTGTTTATTCACATTGATATTAATCAAGATACATGTGTGAATTCTTCAGGCTTAGCAGCTAATACCACAGTGTTACTAAGTACATGTATAAACATTCTGTAATATCCAGCAATGCTTAGCTGCCTTAAGGAAAACTAACTTTCCTACTTCATGTTAAGCAGGAAAGTTTTCTATAGGCCTCCTGCAGAAGTGTCCACCCTAACTGTAGGTTTTGACACAGTAAAACTTTTTTTGACTTGTTAGCAATATTTTATACATTCTGATTTGCTGACAGGAAAAAAATAGAAAATTCATTGTTACTTGATCTGGCAGAAAATGATATGTTATTATAAAATTGGGACCCGTTATCTTATGTTCACCTCTGTTTTCCTTTGGTTTAGGAGCTCAGTGACCAAGCGAGCGCAGACTTTGAAAACTCTGAAGTAAGATGGGTCATTACAGTGCCTGCTATTTGGAAGCAGCCTGCAAAGCAGTTTATGAGACAAGCTGCCTACAAGGTGAGATTGCAGGGTGAAAGTAGGAGTGCTGCTTTAAAGCTCTGTTTGGTAACCTAAATGATAAATTGTGTTTGGGACAATTGGCACTAATATTCTCTGTGTAAAACTGGACTAGAAGAGAGTCAGACTAGAAACACTGAAAAAAGAAGGCAGCTCTGCAAGGCAGTAGCTTCAAGTCATGTGGATTCAGCTCTTGAGTGCCCTTCTCTTCCTGTTTAGATTTATATATTGGTGTCCCTCACTGCAAGCTGTAATGCATTAGTCATCTTGTACACTGTATTCCTGCCGAATTCGGAGCACAGGGAGCAGATGTAGTTTTGAGACTGAAGGGAAATTTGATTTAAATAGTGGACAGGGTTTTGTTTTGTTATTTTCCTTAGGTCATCCAGACTTTTAAAGTACAAAAATAAGGAAGAGGAGGGAAAGTAGAAAGCCCTTTCAGTGTTTTTTTTTTTTTTCCCATTTTCCCATGATAGGAATGAAAAAGACTGTGAACTGGATAGTCTGGATATAAAATTAAATTCAAATGTTATTTTCAGTAGTAAAAACTTACTGTGCATTTAACCCTTTCCCACCCCGTAAATCCATAAAATATGCACACTTTCCATATGCCTGTTCTTCATTTCAGATTCAGTTTGTCTGTGATGTATTAGATGTATGCATTCTTCTTTTCATGAGGATATTCATTTTATGTTTTGTTTTATTTATTTTTGGTCCCATAGGTTTACTTAACCCCTTGGCAGCAGATGCACAATGCAGTTTGTAACATGTTTGGTAGCTTTGGAGTAACTTGCAGAGTGCTCTTGGGAAGCACCCAGATTTTTCTAACGCTGTTTCTACTCATCTCTAATGTTGAGCAACATTTTTCTTAACAGTCTTTATTGTGGGATTGCTAATGCTAGTGCCAGAAGCAAAACACTCTTAAAGTTCTGATGGAACGACACGGTCGTAGGTAAATCTGAACCACGAGAGACCCATTCGTTATCTTTCTATATCGTTGTCTGCCTGCTGTCTGTGTGCATGTGTGCTTGTGAAGTGGGAGCTGAGCAAGGAGCAGGGCAGGGCAAGGTAGATTCTTGGCACTTCTCATTCGTGGCACTCTGGAATGTTGTTGAATAGTGTCTGTGTCTGTGGTTTTGTCTGTGATCGTGTCCTTTTATTGGCAAGCTTGATAACCAGCAAGGACTGATGAGTCTTTTAGCCCAGGGCATGTGATCAGTTGCAGGAAAACGAAAGAGTTTAGGGGAGTAAGTGAATGTTTACTTAACACACACATTGGATGTTTAAAGTAAATGGGGATGAAGAAAGAGAAATGGAGAGTTCTGCATCGTCATTCAATCCTTCCCATTCCTACTGCCATCCAGGCCCAACATGTTCTTCAAACTTGTACATAAAGAGAGATTAAAATGCGCAGCCCTCTAGATCTTGTAATGTGCAGACATCTTGCAAATGGGAGCCTGTTGCTGTAAGAGGCATCTGGGTGTTGAGCAGAGGAAAGGACAAGAGGGCAGCAGTGGACACTTGGTTTCTGGAAGTGCACTCAGGTGCAACCGCTGGTGGGAACGGTTGATGAGCAGTGTAAATCTGCTCTAGTGACCCGTGGCAAGGGACCGAGCTCTAAGAGAATAAATATACTGGTAACTTCAGTCTCTGTTTCACAACATAAAGTCCAGCCAACACTAAAAAAAAATAAAGTTGGGACCAGTTGTCTAAGCAAGCTAAACTGCACGGAGCTACCAAAAACAAGTAGAAAGCGTTGAAGAGCTGTCTTTGCACTTAAGATCTGCCTCCGTCTGTTCAACCTAAAATCTCAGTACGTCTGACATTCCCTCATCACTGTTGTGTTGTTGCCAAAACCCCCCTGACCCGGAGCTCTTAATGGGCCCGCGCGTGCCCACGGCCTGCGCTGCCGTCGCTGTGCCGCCTGGTGTGCGGACGCGTCGGCCGGGGCTTCCCTTCGGCTCATGTTTCTTCCATGTCTACATCCAGGCCATCAAAATCCTGCTACTTCTGCTGCATAACAACTTCTCCTGTCTGTGCATGCCGCTGAGCTTTCCTCGAAGCTGCCGTGGATTTTTTTTTGCATGTCAGTTACTGCAACGTCCTTTCTTGGGCTTCAGCAGCTGTGATCTGCCCTAGTTCATATCCTTCCAGGATGCTGCCATTAAAGATTTGTGTAGTCTCACTTTTGAGGGGGGATCAACCATCTTCTGACCCCTTCATCTGCCACCTCTTATGTAAGCTGCAGGGCCTGCATGTGAATCTCTGCACTGCTAACTCATTTTGCTCCTCTAAAGCCCTCTCTAAGATGGCTCTTCTCATGTCTGCAAAAAATTGATTCTAATTGGCTCACTGGTACATGAAAACTGCTCCTATGGCTTCTTGCTGTTACCTTGTCTGCCCCGTCCCTAATGATCTTTTTCTACTCTTTTACTCTTTTGTTATGCTTGAATTTTTACCTCTTTGAAGCAAGTAGTTGTTTATTCTGGATTGCCTTGCTCTCAGGAACCTGCTAAAGGACTAAACGTAGTAGGCTGTAGAGAGCTGCGTGCCTTTACAATCTCACTATGCTGAGTAAAAATTGCTTTGCTCCTGAATAACAGCCCAGAGATTTCTTTGTGTTGCTTCTCCTTAAACCCTGATACCCAGACATAGTTATAAAGCTGTATGTTGCCTGCTGAGGTCTGGTATCCTGCTTGTTCTATTTCTAATTTTTGCTTTGGTGTAGCACCAGCAGCAGCTCTGTGCTTAGCAGTCTTAGAAGAAGCTCTCTTCTTACCAAGAACTTGCATCGTGAGTAACAAATTCAAATGTTTTCTAATTGTGGAGCAGTGTGGCCTGCTCGTATGGCGTCCAGCGCTCCATGCTGCTCCTCGGGGCCTGCCCTTACTCCTGTCCTTGCAGCAGTGACAGCCTCCACTGGGCCTGAAATGCAGAGCCCAGCACCACAAGATGACCCAGGTGTGAATCAGGCCACCGCTTGGTCATGAACATGGCCTGGCTGTCCCAGCGTTGTCACAGCAGCCTGTGAACGTGGACATGCTGCCAGGATCCCACCTGTGTGTCTGCTGGGACTGTACTAGCAAAGGAAAATTCAGCATTTTGGTAGTCTTGTAGCAGTGATGGCAAAAAAAAAATGGAGGTGTCTCTTTAGGGGAAGATGAAACTCTTGAGGGCATTCAAGACTATTTATGTTTAGTATATAGAAACCGGGCAAATTTAGGTGAGGATGAATGGCTGGCTCAGATTTATAGCTGATTTCTGCTGTCTTCATGTCTCACTGTGAGCAGCACTTTTAAACTCTTATCCAAATGAAATTCATGTGCTGTAGATTGCTTATCTGGGAAACAAGATGTAATATTCCTAGTGGTGTTCCTTTCTAGGAATGATGTTCTTCCAGCTCATGTTTCAATACAAATTCTTGGGCCCCAGTAAACACAGCTGGAATTTTTTGAACATGCTAGTAGAAAAAGCGTAAGAAAGGGGTTAGACTGTGACAGGAATATGTCTGGACTGCAGAATCTATAAAATAAAGGAGTGAAATATGGCGTGCCAAATGTGCCCAGGGCAGAGCTAGCCTACTTTCATAAAATTGCTCTCAAAATCCTGTAGTCCTATAAACATCACTCAACTGCTCACTTACTCAGAGACAGTATAAGATTTCTTTTTTCTTTTAATATGTACTGAGGATTCTGAAATAGAAGTCTAGGGCTCTAATGTAGATTTTTATTCCAATTACAAATACCAAAAATAGCAATTTGCATGTATAAGCTTCTATAAATAAATAGAGAGGCAGTCTAGACTATTGGCTTAAGCACAAGAGCCTGAAATTGAAGGCTTTTTTTTTTTTAACTGCCTCTTACAGTGAAGTTTTTTTCAGTATTTTCACCTCAGTTTCATTGTGGAATGAGCACGATAATCATTATTTAACACATTGTGTTCTTGGCTTACATAACATTTTATTGATCAGTGCTTGCCTGCTCTGTGGAGAAAAGTAAATAAATTTGAAAAATGAGTAGTGTGATGGCACGTGCAATCCCTTGCCAATAAAAATGTGAAGGGAAGCACACTGGAAACTAGCATTTAAACGAAAAAGATTGTCTTAGGCTGTTCTGAATGAATTCTGGCCTACCAGAAAAGAGATGTGGGTGTGACTGTGAGCACAGTGAATTCTTTTGTATCATGTGAGGTTATGTTTTTTTTTGTTTTTTTGTTTAAAAAAAAAAAAAAAGGAAACAAAGACCCAGACTACAAAGCAAGATGTTATCATGACATGGAGTTGAAGCAGCGAGCAATATGGAGAATATGGTAGCAACTTTCTCCTGTAAATAAATAGTACAGCCTTCTTTGGGTACTCTGCTTAGGACTGATGTTGCTTCTAAGGGATCTTGTTGAGAAAGAACAGATTCAGAACAAAGAATAAGACAACAGGCCTCAAGAAACTCTGTTAGTTCCAGGATTTTCTATGGCTGTTCTATTAACCTTAAAAAGGAAATGCATTGATGTTATACCAAGAGTTTTAAATATTAACCTTCAACCAGTGTTTTCTTATACCATCCATCCATTTTGTTTCTTCACGCTAATAAGAACAAGAGAATTTAGCTATTGAGAACGAGTAGCTAAAACACAAAGCGGAGATATCAGCATTATCCAAGGCAGTGCTTTTCATCCAGGTGATGCGTATGTCGAATTCATAGATCTAATTCATTGGTGTCATTGAGGTTGGGTGCTGAACACTCTGCTGAAGAACTGATAGCCATGGAGTTGCGCAGGATATCCCAAACTGTCATATTTATAACATCATTTTGGAAAGGATGTGAGACTTCAAGTGTCAGGACTTAGCCAGCATCCAAATGTAAGGTTTAATGCGGAAAACGGATTGCAGCAAACAGCTGTAGAGAGTTTTACCTCATGCTATGGAATGTCCCTTTCTGGATAACAGAGTATCTCTGAAATGAAGTACTGTGCCAAGTGAATTTGTTGGACACAGTGTTTCCATA